AGAGCGGATCACAGGCAGCCTTTATGGCATGCCTAAGCTCAGAAGTGGCATAAAACTTTACAAACTTTCCCCACATCCCATGATACTGTCCTAACTAATTGATCCTTCGTCCTTTGATGGGTTTGGGAAGTTTAGCTTCATGGCATTTTGTTGCTCGCACCCATGACCTGAAATCTCTTCTTAGTAAAAATAAGATAGGTAGTGCCTTCTTAATTCATAAATGTGCAATTAAAAGACAAATATGTTCATAGTGCTTCTGTGTTTGCTTGACATCCTTGCGACAGGCAGAAAGTTGATGTGTTTCAAAGAGTTCTGCACAACCGCTATCTGAAAAGTAGATTAGTCAGCCAACTTCCTCTCTTATCCTTTCTGCTTCCGAGTTACCTCTGGCTAGCACTTTGGTGGAATGCAATACCCAGTAGCGAAACACTGAGCAGCATATTCTGAAGCAGTGTAGAAAAAGGTGAATGGGCCTGCATCTTTTTCAGAGTGTCAGGGGAAGCAGAATTATTTCTTCAGTCTTAGAGTGCATAGGTACCTGGGAATTTCTGTCATGATGAGCTCTGAATCAGATTCATTATCCCGTGAAGGTAGCAAGGCAAAGAAGTAATGGAGAATCAAAACAGTATTATTAGTCCTGCAGAAGACTGTTGTTTTGCCTATGCTTGCTAATAAAACTATCTGGCTCGTGCTTTTTCTGAGTTGCCTACAGCGTTAGGATTCCTGAAGAAAACAGTAGAGTCATTTAAATGAAATGGTGCTGCATTGTTATTCCTCTGTGAAGGAGGAAGCTCAAGGCAGGCAAAGAAGCTTTATGAATTTCATACCTTTCCTCTGGATGTCAGCAGCCACTTACCTGATATACACCAGCTACAAACGTCAAGGCTGTAGCAATGCCAATAGCGTAGCATTCTTTCCCACACTCCACCCGTGTTCCTCCAATGGTGAGATTAAAGGTGGTCGTGTTGGGTTGACTGTCGTTCCAGAGGGAGCTATCACCCAAGGCTGATGGGGCATCATCATTCAAGTCAAACCCAGCCAAGAGAAGCTCTCGATCCACAACTTGTCCTACCATTAAGCTTATTAAGCTGAAAATGCCAACTGAGACATGACGGGATGTGCCCATTAAGAAATAAATGATGTTGGCAAAGAATGATGTATACAGGCTATAAATGGGCTTTAGACCTGCCAGCAATGAGTATGCGATTGCTTGGGGCACCAAAATGATCCCAATTACTAGCCCAGACATGATGTCCCCCCAGATATACTCTTTGCACTGGTACTTGGGAAGCCATCGTAAAACAGGAAAGAAGTCCATGACAAGGTTCTTCAGGTTCCTTGGGGTGCAGGAACAGCTCTTCCTTAGCTTGGCTAACATGATCTGTTTCATGTTAATCTGGACATGAGTCTTTCTTTCCATAAGAAAACAGGAAGAGGTGCTGCTTTCCAGCCTGGTAGCATCCAGTGGTCTTTCCATTGTGGCAGTGTTTACTTGATGTGTCTGTTCCTGCAGTGTGAAGGAAATGCTGTTAGGTTGCAATTTGTCAAGTTTTTCTTAGCACAGATATTTAATGCTAAAGCTTTGTCACCTAATTGTGTTTTTACTGAAACATCATCCTAATGGGAATGACATCACAGGCCCTTGGTGACCAACCATGTCATGGTTGGTCATGCTGAGTGCATGCTAAGTCCTTTCCTGCAGATGTTTAAGAATATATTCAGTTGAATACAATTTGTTTTTCAAAGGAAAAATGGAGCTAAACTAGCCATAGCTATGTACAAGTAATTCCGTCTGCTCTTCTGAATGCTGCAAAATAGAGGTCTCTGTCATGTGAGGCAGTACTTGACAATGTGCAATAAACATACAGTAAAGGGTAGGCTGTGGTCTTTCTATTAGTGCATTTGTGATCTTTGATGTGGAAGTCACATGTGGTGTAGTGCTCTTGTCACTGCAGATGTCCTCAATGCACAGGAGATGGCTTCTGCTAGAGGTTCTTGGAGACCAGTGATGTAGTATCTTGCAAAAGTTTGAGCACAAACCACTGATGGACCTTTAGAAATTGTCTTATATTGTTAATTGCCACATAACATGAACCTATTTTACTGTAGATTGTTTGATGTGCAACTTCTATTAATTACGAAGCATTTCTTCACAAACGCCAGTCGGGCAACCTATGGACCATGTTACCATCTCTGAAGAGTATTACCTGTTAGTATTTTCAGGAGACACCGTAGTTTCCCTAGCTTTGCCCTCCAAGCAGTAAAATGTAACAAGTAATTTTATGGGCAGCAGAACTAACAAAGCCTTGTTTCCTATATGTCTTCTCCATGTCAAGTTTCTTATACCTACAGGATGGGAAAATTTGTCTTCTCCTAATGGAGGTATTTTGGTATCTCTTGCCTCTGTCGGCATACCTGTTTTTACCAAACTCAGATGTCTGCATTTCTGTCCAGTTGTGAATTAAGTTGAGATTAGCTCAGTGTATTCATAAATAATTCGGGTGTGGGTGGGTACATGACTGAGAGGCAGAACAGTATCACATAAGGGTGTGCTACCTTAAAAGGACAATTGAAAAATAAAACTAGGAGCAAGAAGGTGGAAAATGTCAAAGATTATGCCAGCTGGCAAAACTTGTCTTCAGGTTTGCAATTGAAAGAAAGTGGAAGAGACTGCCAAGAATGAATGCCTGTGTATAAGTACTGGGAAATAAGGACTGCTTCTTATTGACCTAGAAGAGAGAGCGTGTGATGGTACTAACAGTATGCACTATACCTAGGAGGGAAAAATTTCGCAAGCCCAGCCTTTCCCCATTTCACAAACAGCAAGGGGTTCTGCAACACTAGAGACTGCATGCTAATGCTAGTGCTAAAGGCCTTGGCCTGTACATGAGAAAGCTACGAATACCAAAACATTTTTAATATTTAAAACTCTTTGATAAACAAACGAAGAATTAACGGCAGTTAGTTAAATAAACAGCTTTTCTAATCTTCCTGAGCCAGATTTTCAGAGTTAGCTGAGTACCTCAAGGCGTGGATTGGTGCTGACTTTGCAAAAAACCTCACTCAGCTCGGTGCCTGAATCTTGCAGGCGTCAGACATTTTGTCTGATCCTGACAAAGAGACTTCCTGCAAAAAAGCTCCTCTTTTTTTTTTTTTTTTCCCAACTAATTTAATCAATCTTATAAAAAGTATTTTCTTTCCCCACAAATCTTGCTTCTCTTATGCCTTTTGACTTCTGAGTACAACATCATTACTAAAAAGGTGTCAGTTCACCTGTCCAGGTACAGAGCAGAATTGCTCTGCACGTTTTTCTTACGATTAAGTGGAAACCAACTAGGTTCTGCTAGAGGTGAAAGCAAAAGGACTTTCATTTGTGATAATATAAATCTCTGCATTGTGAAGATTGAAATTAACATATTTCCAGACTTGGTCCTTATTCGGAATCTTTGCTGGCACATCTGTGAAGCAAGTACGAAAATAGTAGCCAACATAGCAATAACCAGTAGAGCTACTACCAACAAAAATATAACTTCGGTGCTTGATGACTTCTTTTGTGGTACAAGATGCAGCTGCATTAGCACAACAGAATAGTTGATGTGAATAGCTATCACAAAAAAGTTTTCTGATGCCGGGTGCGACATTGCAATATAATAACAAAGCTTATGCTGGCTCCCAACTTGAAGCAAGAGACAGAAGCCAGAGCCTTCATTTCCCTCAAACTTGAAATTCACTCACTGACACAGCATTTTGTGATGTATTTTAATGATTTTAACAATTAATAGCAAGTTTACACTCTAGTCATCATTCCCTGCATAATTTCATACTTTTTTTTTCTTGATGATATTTTGATTTGTTAGTGTTTGGTAACACGTAATTAAAGTATAGAAGTCCAAGCTGAGGAAAATGCAGTGGGCTTTTGCATCTGCTTGGAAGCATAACTGGAGGAATACATTACCTGTAGCAGCCTGTAAGCTGTTGCTCTGTAACGCTCCTCGTAAAGACCGGCTCATTTTAAAAGTCTTTTCTGTCTGTCTTGCTTAGCAAGGGAAATTTTAGGAGGATTCTACAAGTACCTTTTGTCAGCAGAAGTGAACACAATAACAAGAAGACAAACAGGTATGGCTAGTACAAAAGTCTGCAGCAAATTCCCAGGTATTATTTTAAATGACAGCCTAAATTCTAAAGCTATGCAAAGTTTAGCTACAGCTTTAAGCAGAATGCTGAAGTATTACAGGTATGTAGTTCATTATTTGGTACAAGGCAGAAAAGAGATCCTTTTGGAGATGTATGGGCTGTTTGTCCGTGCTGAAAATGACCTGAGTAGTAGTCAAAATATATTTTTAAAAATCAGATTTCTGTCCATCTTGATTACATTAAATAGTTTTTAACTGTTGTTATATTTGTATATTTCTTTATGTTTCTAAGTAAGGTTTAGGTCAGTCATAGAGGAAAATGAATCACAATTTTAATGTAATTATCTAGAAAGATTGATGGCTACTTTATATTGTCAAACTTAAATTTGGACTGAGAGGTTATAGTAGGCAAGGTTTGCTTAGACTACAAATAGGTTGGGTCTAACCCTTATTTGACTGCAAATATGAGAGAAAAGATAAGAGAAAAGAAATTACAAAACCAGGAGGAGTACTTAAGAGCATGTGATTAAAGTTTACGAAATACTGACTATTAGAAACTACAATAAAGACACTTGTTTTTAAGTTGCGAAAAATAATACTTCCCATCTTACCTACATTGCTTTGAACAATGAGAGTTTTGTACGCGAAGACAGCAAGTCCTATTCAATTGCCACCTGCTTCTTACAGCCAAGTGAATTCAGGCAGCCAAGAAATAAATACAGTGGCCTTATTTTAACATACTTACAAAGTAGTGGGCAGTTCAATATTCAATGGGTGGTTTTAATAGGTTACACAGAAAAGATTGCATTTGCATCTATATATTAGACTTGGATATTTAATTGCATAGTTGCTGTCTGCCTCCCTCTAAACTCACGCAATTTACTTATAAATGCTATATTTCCCAAAAAAAGAAAAAAGCATTACAATAGGTAATGAACGCACGTGTAAAGTCTATACAACTAACTGGCGGATGATAATAGGTTTTGATACTTACCATTAGTGGAATAAAATTTCTTTGGGAATCTGTTGAGAGATTTATGTACAGATGATAATTTAGTAATATGTCTGGGCTGTCTGCGCTACTGGATAATCAGAACTGTAGAGCTTTTTAAAAGGCAGCAAAAACGTTTACATTACAGAAAAGCTAGTTTGCCAAAGCACAACTCTATTAAGCAGTTTTGGTGCATGTTAGCAAAAGGTCAGAAAAAAGTTCCTGATAGAAATAAATATGTTTAAGCCAAAACACAGCCAAATGCTGACATGAGGAGATTATTTTCGATTTTGTTTTCTCCTGAAAATAAGGGTTTCTTCATATAATTTTCACAATGCTATGTAAAATGAACGTGCTAACTGTAAAACACTCACCTCTAAAATTAGATGCTACTGGTTTCCATTTGTGTCAGGCACTGTTAACATTCTGTTAACATTCAGAGCTTAATTGCTGTTTTTAGAACATAATGAAGTCACACCAAATAATGGAAGGGGTTGTTATTAGCAGCAAAATGTTTTTTGACCTAGGCGTTCTCTCACTGTGTTGCCTACAGCTTACTAATAACTTAGCTGCTTCACCAGAGGTGCAGAAAAGAAATGGGATGCCACTATGTCTGCGTGATGCCCCCTGAGCTTTTGCCCTACCCAGCAAAGAGCTCTTGCTACCTCCAAAGACAGGAGCGTGGAGGAAAATCTGTCTATTCATATGTACATGAGCAGACTTTGGCCTGCTGATTCTGACACTGAGATACAACACCATCCTTCCATGGTGGTAATACTCAAGCAATATTTAGAAACCCCAGATGCCAGTAAATAGGTTTCTCTACTGCTTCTCCAAATTGGCACATGTTCAGGTGTGCACACAGTAAGTGGTATATAGGAACAGAAACAACCCACATTCCTGCAGGCTCCTGCTGCAGTCCCCTGAACTTCACAGAGCACACTGTTTGCTTTTTATTCAAGTGAAAGCTTTCCATTACTTACTGAAAGAGCTGTTCCTTACATGGCTGTGCAACTGAAGCGGTATATGGTGTGGAAGATACCTATCCATTGTATTTGACTTTAGTATTGTATCATTTTAAACTGTTTAACACCGGTGAAAGTTATTGAAATACATGCATATACAGATACATATATATTGACCATGTCATTACGATGACAAGTAGTCTCTGTTATTTGTAATTGTGTTTTGATGTTTGCAATCTGCAAGGTTAAGCTTTTTCAGAAAAATTGTCCCTCACCATACAGGCAAAAAGCTTTGTTTTGTTTTATCTTTTAAACACAACTTTTACTGCAGCCCCTGAATTCCCGGATCTGCAGCTTTAAAGAAAGGTCTAAATTGTTGTGAGATTTAGTGATACTGTTTCTGCCTGAGTCTTGAATC